CTGCGGATGATGATGATGATGATGATGATGATGATGATGATGAGATGGATGATGATGATGATGATGATGATGATGATGATGATGATGATGATGATGATGATGATGAGGAGGAGAGGAGGAGAGGAGGAGGAGGGGAGGAGGAGGAGGAGGGGGAGGAGGGGAGGAGGGGAGGAGGAGGAGAAAGAGGAGATGATGATGATGATGATGATGATGATGATGATGTGATGATGATGATGATGATGATGATGATGATGATGATGATGATGATGTGGATGATGATGATGATGATGATGATGATGATGAGGATGATGATGATGATGATGAGATGATTGAGGATAGGGAGGATGAGGGAGGGAGGAGGAGGAGGGGGAGGAGGCGGGGGAGGAGGAGGAGGAGGCGGGGGAGGAGGAGGAGGAGGAGGAGGAGGAGGAGGAGGAGGAGGAGGAGGAGGAGGAGGAGGAGGAGGAGGGGCCACAATCCTTGGCTCGTGGCAGCAGCGCCTCGCAGGGGCAGCTCCCAAGGAAGCGCTTCCTGGGCTCGCGTGCAGCTCCTCGGCAGCTCCTGTTTCGGTGGCAACCCATGGGAACCTCCCGTACCATCTTGTCGGCTCTTGCGAATCGACGCTAATCGACGCTAGATCGACGCTGACCGACGCTATCTCGACGCTAATCGACGCTGGCCGACGTCAGATCGGCGCTGTATCATCGACCCTGGGCGCTAATCGACGCTAGTAGAAGCTAAAGACGGAATTGCGAGGGTAGACACGGCTCCCATGATTTGCAACCGAATTTTATGATGGGCCAATTTTCCACCGCCACTACCATACGTAGGATGAGGCAGTCCTCCTCCTCCTCCTCCTCCTCCTCTCCTCCTCCTCCTCCTCCTCCTCTCCTCCTCCTCCCCTCCTCCTCCCCCTCCTCCTCCTCCTCCTCCTCCTCCTCCTCCTTCGCCTCCTTCGCTCCTCCTCCTCCTCCTCCTCCTCCTCCTCCTCCTCCTCCTCCTCCTCCTCCTCCTCCTCCCCCTCCCCCTCCAACATATGGTAGCGGTGGTGGAAAATGGGCCCATCATTTGATGCAGTGCCTCGCCCGCTCGCTCGTACGCTTCGGTCAGGTGGGCTGCCCGCGGGCGCCCAGACCGTTCCGCACGGCATGCGCAGCCGCGGCCAGGGAAGCTGGCGCCGTCGGCACCGTGAGGGCATCCGTCCGTACCCAGGCGAGGGCCACCTCACTCGCCACTCGCTCGCCATCTCGCTGTCCAGTCTTCCTCCGCGCCTCCCCTGCCCGTCCAGGGAAGCTCGTCCCAACATGCGGCCCGCTCGAGGAGGCCCGAGCCCCCCAGAACAGAACAGCCTGACGCCTCTCAGGGCGGGGGCGGGGGCATGTTTTGATTCCGCCAGATCAGCTGCCGAGGATTAAAGTTTCAGGAGGAAGGGAAAAGGGGGAGAGTGAGATAGGGCGACGAGAACTATACATATCCACTGCCCCCTGGCCAGGACCGTCCTGAGGCCAGCAACTGTGTATACGCCCTCCTGGCCAGGCCAAGAGGGCGTGGCATATACACTGCTGCCGGGTTCAGGTTGGGCGTGGCCAGGGATATGTATAAATCTCGTCGGCCTAGCGGGAGGGTGCCAGGAGCCCCCTTCCTCGATAGCGGCTTCGATCTCCCCCGCCCGCCTGGCACCTTTGCACTGCTTCGCCGTCTTCTTTTCCCGGAGACTCCCAATGACTGGCTGGAAAAGCACCACTCATCCAACTACGGCAAGCCCGTGTCGTGACGACTTGCGCGTTGAGTTCTGACACCGCGTGTATCCTTAGACCTTGAGCGATCGCGCCTTTCCGGCATCGCCGATGGTCTAGATCAGCCGACTCTGGGCCACTGGCGGCTTTAAACATTGACCGTCCGCGTCAGGGCTGCCACCGCGTCGACGCGGCACGGCCCTGCCGTGCGCAAGACGTCGGAGTGCCTGCGCATTGGTGCCACCGCCACCACTGTGGGCCACCTCCACCGATGGAGCAGCAGCAGCAGCAAGAAGTCGTACACCCTGAGCCTGGTAGGACACGGACGCGGGATCGTTACCTCTTACTCTCGCCGAAGTCAGCCACCCTGGGGTGGTGACCAGGCAGGAGATCGAGGAGCTGGAGGGGGGGGAGGGGGAGAGGAGGGAGAGAGGCAACGGGGGAACAGGAGAGCGGAGGGAGACACTGAGGGACGAGGCAGGGCGGCGGTCTGGCGAAGCCAGGAGAGGAGGGGGGAAAGAAGCCCCGTGCCGTGCGAGAAAAGGTCAGTCTACTCGTTTCTCTGTGTTTGTGGTAGTCCGCCATCGCGCCCACGTCGCGTCGCGCGTGCCAGAATTCCAGTCGGTGTTGCTGTGGTAGTCGGCGCTCCAAGAGGCCAGACGCTGGTTCCGACATGGCGATCTGGCCCAACATGGCCCCAAGAGGACCAAGGATGGTCAAAGCAAAGTTGGCTCTGGAATGGCCATGCAAAACCCCAGTTTGGATCCATGAGGCAACAGTGGGCTCGAACATGGATCCACGAATGGCATGGTGGTGGCGCCGGCAAAGCGGGTCAAGTGGTGCTGGCAAAGGCCCCCCCATGAAGTCCAACTCGGTTGAGAAAGCATCAAAACCCTTCACATATATTCCCGTACATATCCTCCTCTTCTCTACTCTCCTCTCCTCTCCTCTCCTCTTCCCTTCTCCAGTTTCCTCTGGTCTCTAGAGGCCTCTGGAGGCCCCAATACCTCGGGAGGCCATTGCAGGAAAGCCAAGCGCGTCCAAAAAACCTCTCTACTCCTCCTCCTGGATCCTGCCTCCTCGTGCACGTTGTACCTTTTAGATACGTTTAGACATTCTTAGCCACGACATTCAACATGCTTAGCCACGAACGTCCACAAAACGGACGCGGTTTCGATGCACGTATAGCTACGCCCAGCCATGCTTAGCCATGAGCGCCAACGCGCGTTTTCCATATCACAATTTAAGCCACGCTTAAGCATGACATAAGCACGCACGTGCTTTCTAATCAGAGCATGCGCGACAAATCAGGCCAAAACTTTCAGCGATGACGGGGGTCATCATCAACAGCTGTCCAAGCGCAGAAGCGTACTCCGCGCCCACTGCACGCCTTGGCCCCCAGGAAGATTCTCGCTCCGCGTATCCCCACCGGCCCGTCCAGAGACGATGCGCGGGGACTTGCCTTGATCAGGGAAGTGTAGCTGCGTGCAGTGCAACAACGAGCGGGGCAGCCGTCGTCGTCGTCGTCGTCACCGTCGTCGTCGTCGCCGCCGTCGTCGTCATCATCGTCGTCGTTGTATGTGTCGTCTTCTTCTTCTCCTTCTTCTTTATCCTTCTCCTCCTCCTCTTCTTACTCTTGTTATTCTTCGTGTATTGTTATTATTCGTCGTCGTCGATGTGTCCTTCTTCCTCGTCCATCCTCGTATTTTTCTTGCTCCTTCACCTCGCTCCTCCTCCGCTTCTTCCTGCTGGCGCGATGCAAGTGTATTAGTTTGTCTTGTGAGTCAAACTCTGGACCGCGCGGTCAACGATGTTTGGCGTTTCCCCCGTCTGGGTCGCACTTCCACTTGGTTGGCACTTAACCACGCTGAGCCACGAAGCAGCCACGGCACGGCAATCGGTTTTAGCCACGGATATTCATGCTAAGACACGAACTGCTTAGACACATAATCTGTTTGGACACGGTCGCATGCTTAGACATGTCTAGCCATCACGCCCGAAGGAGAACCACGCGCGGCGATCCACGGCTAATACTCGGGATTGGAATCGCTGATGCACCGGGCTGAAGCGAGAGCCGCGCCCCGGTTTGCGGCCTTGCAAAATAGCCTTGGCGGCTGAGGTGGCGCAGGGATGGGTGGCGCGGTGGAGGCACGACCTGGCCATCGCTCGGACGTCCATTTCCTGGGTGTTTTTCGGTTTCGTGCGTGGTTTTTTTCGCCAAATGATCAAGGATGCTCCTCGATGATCCTCGCCGAAGGACAAATGCACGCGTCCGAGCGATGCCAAGCCGATTGGAGCAGAGCCGCACGGCGAACGGGGTGGCCGCCAGCGGCGAAGCTGCGGACGGGACTGCTGCACCGTTGGCCCGCGGCGTGCAGAGCGGCGCGCGCAAACGGCGCGGTGAGGCAGGCAGATGCAACCACGTGAAAATATGGCTCTGCATGAGTATCGGGAGCGGCCAAGAGGGGGGTGTCCAAGAGGGGGGTGCAAATCATGACCGGCGGCATGTGCGCGGCCCAGCGGGGGGGCCAGGGACGTAGTGAAATAAGAAGACGCGCCATGAAATCTGGGGAAATATCATGGCCCCCGCCACCATGATATCCCCCCCCCCTAGTCATCACCCCCCTCTTTTCCGCCCCCGAGAGTAGAGAGTGCTATATATTCCAAGTGCGCACGTGATAGGCGGGGGCGCATGGCGTTGATGCTAGGTTGGCGACGCTGCTGTCCGCAGCCCTCCAGGCCAGCGCCAGGGAGCCGTCCGCGGAAGTTGCCCTCCTCCACCCCCGCTTGATCCCTCGCCCCCACGCCTCCTCCACTTGCAGCTGGGGTGGCGCATGGGCCGCATGGGCGCCTCGCGTGGCGGAGGTGCGCCAGGAAGGAAGAAGGGGCCACGGTGGACGGGATAAGTTAGTGGCAGTGCTGCTGGCTGGACTGTTGCACAGCTTGGGCCTGCGGCGCGCAGAACGGCGCGCAAACAGAAGGACGGGGTTGAATGCAACAACCCAGACATCCGACGTCTCGATTTTTTTCGAGACACGGGCCCCCGACCTCACGACCACTTCCCCGGGACTCGTTTTCCGTCCCGAGTCGTTTTGTTGACGGTCCCGGGGCCCAGCGATGGCCTCGAGAGGCCGAAAACCAAGAAAACCTCCGCCTCGATGTTTTCGAGACGCCCGATGTCTGGGAGTGCTTCGGGGGAGCTGGAAAAGCGCAGGCAAGGGCGGGCTGTAGTTGCGAAGGTCGCGAGAGATAGGCAGGGGCGCG